ACAAGTTGTGGGTCCACCAGAGCTCATGGCATGTTGGGGAATTCCCTCATAAGCCAAAGCCATCTTGTTAATATCCTATGTATGCAATGGATCTCTCTGCATTCAGATTATCTTAAGTTTTGTGTTTTCTCCATCACCCTCTAGGCTGACTTCACTTCTCTCCCACAGACCACAGGGATCTCCTGTCCCAATGACAGTGGTCTTTGTTTCTGTCCCAAAAGATCCTCATCTGCCCGTGCAAAAGCTGCAATGTCAGAGACAAACTGCACTGTCAGAGACAAAAAGCATAGCAAAAGTGTGTAGTCACGAAGACTACAGACACCAGCAGAGATGGACAAACATCTGGTCCATTAACCTAAAACTGGCTCAGTTTAGGAAGTTGCTTTTGTTTTTAATGTGATTTAATTCTGTAAATTTATAGCCCAGGTCCCTGGAAAAGCAGAGAAAGCGATGTCCTCCTCCACTGTTAGGGTTCAGTCTGTCACCGTCTGTGTGATAGAGGGTCTCCATTTCTCTCAAAGCAGAGCCAGCCAGCAAGCTGTGCCGTGGGGCATATGTGTTGGGCTGTGGCTGAGAAGTCTCCAAGAACCTCGAATGAGGCAGAACAACTTCTGGCTCCATTTGGCATTGCTCGTACATCCTAGAAGGACCTAAGATCCTTTGCAGGCACTAGGACTTGGCTCTCTGTCATTACCAAGGCTGTGCAGCACAGTATCAGGGTCATTGAAAGGCACTATGGAGATCGTGTTATATTGCTCTCTGCTTTCCAACCCCAGATTTGAAAAACCATCTGGGGCTCTGTTAGTCCTTCACTTGAGTCAAAGAGCTGGGATGGCAGCCACTGCCAGCACCTCCTGGCTGACCTGAAAGTTGTCTCTGGATTCAGTTCCAAACTTTTCCCTGTCTTGTAATCACATTTTTATCCTCATTTTGGTCAGTGTATATATTTCACAATGCTCCTTTTATCCCTGCTGAGATGGTCTCAATGTCCTCAAGCATATAAAACCACTGTTAGGTCATGTTGCTCATTCACGTGGCCTCTCAGGAGATCTATGTGGATTGGAACCCTAGGTTCACATTCTGATTTTTCATATATTTATTCTTTTGCTCCTAGGCTGGTATTTTGATTTTGATATGGAAGTGGACCAGACACCCAAGGAGTGTGCTTTCTGCAACCCCAGCAGGGTTACAAGTCCAGGCCTCCTGCTGTAGACATTTTGATGAGACTGTGACCTAAGAAGGGTGACCTAGTGCCTGAAGAAAGCAGACCTCCATATAATTCTCCTGTTTTACAGCCTAATTCAGGGGAGGGTTACCAGCCACATTACAGCTGTACTTCCTCAGAGTGTCAGCCACCACACCCCAAGAAAGTTTGAGAGCTCCGCTGTCACATTACCGTGATTGGTTACTAATGTAGTTCTCCGCCCTCCTCTGTCCTGAGCTGGAATAGCCTTTAGTGAGGCCATTAGTGGCCTTTTACCAAATGCTAGTAAAACTCCCATTCTTGAGAGCAGATGTTTCTAGATACTTACTTCACTCTGTCAGCTGTGAGCCCCACGGCACGTGGTGTTCCTACAGTGCTCTCGCTGACGGAGCAGGGAGTGCGGCAGCACTCATTAACAGGTGATTGCATGCACCTCTCCAATACTGGAAGTCTGGTGGGAGCACAGCTCTCTCCCTCACCCACTGTGTCTTCACGTTTCGAAACCATGCCTCGCGGTCAGCAGGGGCTCAGATATTCACTGAATAAATAAGTGGGCATGCAGGTGGGGGCTGTGCCCTGTTTGCCCTTCCTTGCCTCTCTGGTTTTGAGCCCCTGACTAGACCTGCATTATCTCATCTCTTTTAATACCTTTCTTCCCATGCTCTTTCTGAAAAGCATTATAGTTTGGCTCAGACTGTCATTTTCATTTGCCTACTGATTGCAGAGGATTGGAGGTAAAATGATCATGGCTGTATCCTTCCATTTTACTGAAGACCCCGGGAGCTACAGTGAGTTGCTGAAGCTTATAGAGCACATCTTACATGCCTACGTGATTGCTGCACCTCCCCTCTTCCTTGGCAGATTCACGTCTTTGGTTGAATGTGGCCAGTAAACGTTATTCAAAAGCTTCTTTCTAATCTTGCTTATGTCCTAAGTCCCGGAGCCCCCTGGAGAGGAACCATGTGTGCCCATCCCCATTTCATTCTCTGATAATACAGTTACATGCAGTACAGCCAACTCTCTCCCAAGTTATCACTTCTCATTCCTAAGTACAAATAATTTCTCAAGCCATTAGGAAGGAGCATTCAGGCTTCAGTATGTGCTACCCAGTGTCTGCGACTTTTGTCCCAGGTTAGTGTCCTTTCCATGCTGAAGGTCCTGATTTGGCCTTGACAGTTTCCAGAACAGTGACTAATGCTTGACTGAAGTAAGCTGTCAGCCAACCAGTCTTTACTGTTACCCCAAGGAAATAGTAACAGGTCCTAACTGGTTTATTGGAGTGAGAATGGTGATGGAATAAACAGATGGTACAGTACGAAGTCACTTGACTGGGCATTCTGGAAGAGATGGAATCAGAGTTAACATCATTTTAGCACTTGGATGACTGGGGAAATGAACACATCAGCAGAGAGAGAAACAGACACGCAGGCACAGTGCAGGGTTAGAGAGAGAAGGTAAACTCAACATGGGACATAGAGAGCATCAAACATCCAGATCGTGTTTAGCAAGCAGTTGGAAATATGGAGCCAGAGGTCAGGGAAGAACTCTGGGACAGAACTGCAGATTAAAATGCAGAGGACTGTCCATATCAAGCTAATGTTGAAGTCACATTGTTATATGTGTAGAGTGAGAGATGAAGGGAACCTTGAAACACCCATTTAAGGAAGGTATGGGAAAGAGGACTCTAAGAGTTTAATGTTGGGCCATGTATGTCTTTTAAATAGGGGCGAAAGTGAGCGGTGGCACAGGCCAAGGGAAAGGACCCAGAGGGGTGGGGCAGAGTAAAGATGCAAGAGAGGTGTGGGGAAGTAATTTCTGGATCAAGGTGCAAGGGCTTTGAGCTTGAAGTATTTGAAGCACCCAGCTTCAGTGTAACAAGAATGAAGACGAAAAGTATGGAGTCATTTTAATGAGAAGAATGTTTAGACAACTGTGTCCCAAACAGAAAGCTGTGTGCCTGCAAAAATGAGGTAGATGCAGAAGTCTGCGGGCGTGAAAGGGGTAGGAAGAATTTGAGATAGGAATTAAACATCCTAGGGCATGTGGGAGTCTCCTGCAGGTGAGTGCAAGGCTTGGGGAGCAGAGGGAGGGTCCCGCCGAGACGGGGCGGCATGCACTGAGAGACCAGGCGGCTGGGTTTGGTGATTTTCTACTGTAGCATCTGTCAGCAGTTTGGGATGTGAAACAGGAATGATTGGTGGGAGGATAGTGAAAGGAAGGTGTTTATATTAAGTGGAGTATCTGAGCGAGAAATCCAGGTCAGGGAGAAAGCTATATGAGGGTCAAAAAAAGTAGGCAGTGAGAAAGGGAGGAGTTTAGGGGGGCTAGAAGGGACAATGGGAATAAGGGGCAGATGTGCGGAAAGGTGAGGATGGGGTTAAGTTTGGTCTTGGGTGAGAATAGATCAAGATAGTATGTTTTCTTTAGCCACTTACAAATCTGCAAATCACTGTATAAAAATTACCATTACTACCCTATGGCTACAGTGTGGTTCCCTGAACTTAGTAGTTTGTGTTCTCCCCATCACCTTAATTTCAGCTCCTTTTTTTCTCTTCCCATTTGGTTTGAACATCCTCAGATTTCCCACCCTCCTACTCTGAGGTCAGCCTTCTAACTCCTTTCATTTTAGAATAGGTCAGTGATCCTCAATCTTGGTGGCATCCTGGACTCTACCTGAGCTTTTAAAAAAAAAATCATATAGGTCCCTGGACCTCCCCATCCCGGAGACTCTGATTTAATTGGCCTGGGGTTTGTTTTTTAAAGCTCCCAGGTGATCTTCCCATGGGAGCAGTGACTCCCACTAATGTGTTGTCCATATCAGGAACTACCTGGTGAGCACAGGACTCCTCTAACCAGGACCATATTATAAGCATGGCTAAGCATAAGGATTCAGCTGCCAGACTTCAGCTGGAGTCAGCTGCCTGGGTCCCAGTCTCAGCTCTGTGATTCCAGGCAATCCTTGTATTACCTAAGTCCTCGGTTTCTTAATATGCTGGTGGGAAGAATCATGATTATGCCCCAAAAAAAGGACAAATCAGATAATGTACTCATTCACACCACACCTGGCACAAAGAAGTACTCAACAAATACTAAGTCTTGTTAATATTTGTATTGATTGTACGAGCATTTTTAATATGTTGCCTTTCCCTAGGACCACACAAGTTAAAAACTTAATTTCTTCACCACACTATTTATTTTGTATGTACACATTGTTTATTGAAGGAAAATTGTAGGCTACCTTGTTTTTAAATGTTCAAAAAAGCTTTGTGATTGCATGTAGCAGGGCTTAGTGCTATAGTGAAAAATGGCAAGGATTACTTTTCTAAATATTTAACTTAGGTTCCATTTGCTTGGTAAGAAAGTAGCCAGAGAGTGACTCTGTCAGAAATCCACAGATTTCATTTCATAAAGGCTGAGTGTGGACTCTGATCTTCCTAGAATCTCAGGCTGGCAGGAGCCAGTAAGTAGTTCAGTTATGTCTTTCCCTCTTTCTCAAGACTGTTTATGCAACATCTCTGCACTGTTTATGCCATGTAATTGTTGTTTCAAGTGTTTTTTTTTAAATAATCAAAGAATCTGCCCCTTATACCTGTCATTCATTCAGCCTGGTAGGTCCTTAGGGGTAGCCCAGCCTTTCTGAGATTCCTGCCCCCACCGCAAAATGATGGTTCCAGAGGTAAAAACTCTTGCTCAAAACACCATTAAACTTCTAATGACGTATCTTACTTGCATTTACAAGCAGTGAAATTTGTCATCTTTGTGTTGTTATTTATGCAGCATTAACCTTTTTCTCCAGATCATTGAGACTGAAAATATGATGGACCGAATTGTGACTGGCTTGTCTGAGTCTAGTGTCAAGGTGCGGTTAGCTGCTGTCAGGTATGAGCTTTAAATGGTCTGAATAAAAATCCCCTGCCATGTGTTTAACCTGTTTCCTTTCTGGACCTTCACCAAGTCAGCACAGAATCCAGGCGTTACTCGAAAGTCTACTCAGGTGAATTCAGTGTGTGACATTTTAAACAGAAGCTAGTCTAAAAAGCCCATGAAGATTTCTGATGTAGTAGAATTAGTAATGTCTGGATATACTTGAAGTGGATGTTAGTAATTGTGAAATGCCAAGCAGTGTGTTTGAAAAGTATGAGTTTCAGCTTCCTGTGAGGCTAATTTTGATTATTCTTTGTAGATGTTTGCACAGTTTATCTAGATCTGTGCAGCAGCTTCGAACCAGTTTCCAGGACCACGCCGTGTGGAAACCCTTGATGAAGGTAAGGAAAGAAAGGGTCCGCACGCGGCACCCATTCCCACGGAGCCTTGTCGAGGTAGCCGGCTGATGGCGTTCCGTGGTCTAGGAGTACACGTGATTTTTGTGCAGACCGTGTCAAACAGTTACTTCCATTTCCCCAAGTCTCAGGTTCTAGACCTGCAGAATGCGTTTCTGAGGTCAGCATCTCATGTGTGACAGGGACGTGCCTGCCTGGTTTTCTTTTACTAAATAAAACTTTAGTTATTTTATCTGATCTCCCTGTGTGTTTAGTATTACACTTTGGACTTATATCCAGTCATCTTTGTAATTTTTAGTTATAAAAGGAGGCGAATCAGCCATTTACAGATATAATCTGTTCTTAGTCTTTGGAACTCCCTTGATATTTTTTAACACAGCTGTTGCCTCCTGCTTCTCTACTTCAAAATAACTTCTTTTGGTTTTAGGTCTTTTCTTGGTGCAGGGGGAGGTTGTTCATGTCAAATCTGAATTGAGACTCAGAATATATATCAAGTTGCTAAATAGTATTATTCCTGATACATTACAGAACCATGGGTCAACTTGGCCTCTGGCCCATTCTTTTATCTTTAAGTGACCAAACACCTTGCATTCAATCAACAGAATTTTTTGTTTATGTTTTTTGTTTTGTTTTTTTTTAGTACCTGCTAAGAAAGCCTCAGGGCACAGTAAAGCTACCACAGCTTTTTTACTGTAGAGCTCTTGCCTTCAGCTTAAAGCATCAGGTTGCCTTCAGCTTAAAGCATCAGGTTGCAGTCGGAAGCATCAGTGTGGTAGAAACAGGAGGCTTCGGGCAGCAAGACTGTGGAAAGAGAGGAGCAGCATGAGCAGAAATGTTACATTAGGGTTTGTGCAGAAAGCATATGGGGCCTCCGGGGCTGCAGTGCAGGGTCGGGGTGTGAGCACCGGCGAAGAGTCGGACGGTGCTGTCTTCAGTCGGGTGATTTTCCTGTTGCCACTTTACCTTAGATTACACCTTTTTCATAGCAGCTTAATCTTGGTTTATTGATTCTGTCCATTCAAAATTTTTTAAGTATTCCCTGTTTTCCTCCCTAATAGCTCAGCTCAGTACCCCTCTCTCATGTGAATCAGAAGTGAGTAATGTGTGGTTTCTCACCCCTTTTACCTGCGAAAGGTTTGGTGAGCAATCTGGAGGGCTTTTGTGCACTTGGGTACATGTGGGTGTATTTACTATCAAACTGCTGCTCTGTTGTACATTTAAAGTATGGATAGCATTAGAAGCTGGGAAGTAGGTCAGTAATTTATTTTTGATATTTTGGTTCCTCTTACTTCAGAGACTGCATGTCTATTGATTTTTACCCTTTTTCATTTCCATGTTTTATGTCTTGGTTAGCAAACCACAGGAGAGTAGCCATTTGATTTCAATTAAAATTTGTACCTGTGATCATTTTTTGTCAATATTTTGTGAAACTCGATTTGGTCAAAGTTAGATGTCAGCTTCTGAGTTTCACAGGTTCTATCTTATCCTACACGGAGCAAATGCTTTTAAGAATTTCATAGACTATCTTGTTTTAGTTTATCATTTGGTGTTACCTAATTTGAAAATAAAACTTGATAAAAGCACATTAATTTCTATAAAGTAATAAATACTTTAAAAAGTGAATCATATCAAGCAAAGCAGCTTTTTAAAGCCTCTTATGTACTCACATATTTAAACCAGTGATTCTAAGTAGTGTGATTTTGGAAATGATTACTGCTCTTATTTTACAGAAATTCTCACACCCATTTTGTACTGTGACATTTGGTTGATATCGGCCAGGATAAATTAGGCCATAGGTATATAGATTATTCCTTTAGAAGCTTAAATTTGTTAATAGAAAATGAGACTGGCATGGCCACACAGAATTTGAGCAGTGTGGACAGTAATAAGGCTCTTAAGAGAGGCCACAGACAGTGGTAGTGGTTGCTTGGAGGATAGAATGCCTTCTGCCTGGGAGGGCTCCATGGAGGCTTCTGGAAGGAGATGGCCTTACAGCACGGCTACGGGGTGTGCTGGAGAGATGTAGGAAGGTCATGGAAAGGCAAGGGACGGTGACCAGGGTCTTAGAGAGGGTGGTGGCACACACAGAGATCAGCATAATGCATAAGATTTGATCTTTATCAACTAGCTAACAATTCACAGGCAAGTTAAAACAGTATCTTAGGAAAACTGCTTCTGTTTTGTAATTCTTGCTTTTTCTTAACTTTAGAAATTCAGATTTGATTTAGCTGAAGTAGCCAAATACATATTTAAAGAAGCAGATGATATGTTTAACTCTAAATGTTTTTTGTGATTCTCCATTTCCAATTTGCATAGCTAGAGCTCCTAGGACTGGTTTGGGATCACAAGCCTTATCCAGATCTGGTCCCAAATGCAAAGGATTTAGGTGGAATGGTTATTGCATGTAAGTGATACTGTATGAAGCCCTCTGTCTTAGAATCTAGAAAGAATGGGTTCTGATTAAAGCTCAAGGTGACCAACATTTGTCATCATGCTGTGTTGTCTTCTCAGTTCAGTGTGAGTCTGTGGCATTTACTTTACTTGATGCCTGCCACATGCCTGGTATTGTGCTTGGTGACAGCACAAACTATGGCAACACATTACCTTTCTAAAAACCTTACTTATGTAGTAGGTACTGTGAATGAAAACGTTCTAAAAATCTTTTCATTTATTAATTCTCACAACAACCTTATGAAGTAGATACAATTATTATCCCCATTTGACAGCCAAAGAGTTCATATACCTATTCAGTGGCCGAACTGAAATTGGCATTCCGGTAGCCTGTGTTCTTATCTTTTGTGCCATGATGCATCTCTTGTTATTCACTCTGTCACATTTTATCCTGATAGTTCTATCAAGGAAGTGGTGTTTAATTCAACTCAAAAGCGCAGAGAGTTAGGAAATGTACTCACGTGCACACATCTCAGAAGTGCGGGGTAAGAGTTGGAACCAGACTAAGTGATTCCAGTCTCCAGGACCAGCTCCCCACATACCCTGTCTGTGCAGCAGCTTGTTCCACCCGTGCTCCTGGTCAAATAAGTCTTTCTAGGGACACTTCAGAAAGTGCTGGGCCCTAGGACAATTTTGTGGTTTCATAATTGGCCTGATTCGTTACAGTAGAATGAGCTAACTTTCCCTAAACCAGTGCCATAGTTTTCAGACTATTTACATAGGGCACCGCTGCCTGTCTTGTGTCTGTCTGCTTTTCTGTGCAACAACCCCACCCTGGTGGTGGAGCTGTGGCTTCTCCAGCAAGATGGATGTGAGGGTCATAACTCCAGCACTAGGTAAAGGCTCACACGGTGTCACGTGGGTCTTTCCTAACCAGCTCTCTAATATGGGAAATCAGGGTGAGAGATAAATTGGGCTTTTCTTCCTCATTTATTCCTAAGATCTCACCTCCATGTCTCCAAACCATTAATAGCATCCCCTTTTTTTTAAATTTCCTAGGTTTTACAAAATGCACCAGATGAAATCCTAGTCGTAGCATCGTCCATGCTATGTAATCTTCTTCTTGAATTTTCTCCAAGCAAAGAGGTTAGTATTGATTTTTCTCTTCCTAGACCTTGCTCGGTCCTACCAAGACAAACCTTAGTCAAATAATCTTCACAGTAGTTGACATTGGAATTTGAACTTTGGTTTTAGAAACCTACTTCTGAGTTGTTTGATGCTACAAGGAGGAGGGCAGCAAAATAAATCATTTTTAAATATGGTTATTATTTTCTGTTATGCCTTTTATTCTGCCTGGCATATTCAGATTATTTTTAAAATATTACAGTTTACAGTAACTAAACTGCCTGCAACTGCAAATGCAAGAAATTAATTACAAAAATAATAGACTATTTTCAAATTACATTTACTAAAGAGTAAATTAAGACTCAATTTGTAAACCAAGATTATAAGTAATTTCAAGGAGATAACTGCTGGCATCAGAAAATAATCTTTTTAATGTTTAGTATTAATGGTAGTTGTTTAGACAAGGATTAAATGAGATATTTTCCCTTATTTTGTCCATTTTGTAAGTTATTTGAGCGTGTATTATTCTAACAGGGAAAATTTAAATCAACTGTAATAAAGGAAGGAGGAAACCCTACAGAGTTAATTTTGTCGTGCGGAAGTGTCTCTGGTGTGCCCAGTCGTGATGAGGTTTAGACATTGTCCTTATTGTGCACCGAGCAGTCCCATTTTTGTTGGACTTCTTTTCTGCATTATAATACCTACAGACTTCTGACTGGTAATCGGGAAGGCATTAGTAATGGGTGGCAGTTCAGAGACAGCCGTTCAACAAGCAGTAATAATCTTGGAACAAAAGGGGAGAGACTGATCATTATTCTGAAGGAGACAAAGGCGAGATAGGATGCCAGCACTTCCATCAGTTCTTCTCTGCCCTGTTGGTGGGGATCTTGGTCTGATGACAGTCAGGCGCAGCCAGTGTGACACCGTTGGTCATCCTGCATAGCTATCATGAAGCCTCAGATCCACCTTCAGAATAGTGAGGGTCTAGTTACAAAGTAAGGTAGATGAAGGCAGGCATAGGATCATTAATACAATGGGTTTTTCATATTAAAAGTAGCTGGCTTATAGTTAGCAGTACTGTATTGTATATTTGAAAGTTGTTAAGGCAGTAGATCTTGAAAGTTCTTATCACAAGGGACAAAATTGTAGCTATGTGTAAAAATGAATTTTAACTAGACCTACTCTGATGATCATTTTGCAATACATACTTATATTGAGGAATGTTTTACACCTGAAACGAATATAATATTTTGTCAGTTATATTTCAATAAATAAATAATAAACTGGATTTTGAACTGGAAGGTAAGGAAGTGCTATAACAGCATTATTGGGCCAGGTGACTAAATTGGAATATTGACTGTAGATTCAATAAAAGTACTGTTTTAATGTTAACTTCTCTGAATTTGGTAAGGAGAAGATTCTTGTTCTTAGGAAATACACTTTGAAGTAGTAAGGGTAAAGGCATGATGTATTCACTCTACTTTCAGGTGGTTCAGAAAAGATGAAAAAGGCAAATATACTGACAGCTGTAAGAAGGGAAGGGGAGGTGGGGACTGACCGAAAGCAGGTGAAGGGATTAGTCAGAGAACATGTATGAAGGACCCATGGATGGACATGGACAACCAGGAGGGGACTGATTATGGAAGTGGGGGGAGGAGAGGTGAAGGAGGAAAAAGTGGGACAACTGTAATAGTATAAACAATAAAACATTTGAAAAAGCAAAAATGCAAATATAGGTGTATAGAATGAAAGAGATAATGAATAAGCAAAATGATATGGAAAAATATTAAAAATTGGTTAATCTGGGAAAAGAATTTATGTAAGTTCCATGTATCAGTCTTTCTACTTTGTAAGTTTGACCTTAGCTGAAAATAAAAAGAAAATTATAACACAATTTGTACAAGTAGAGGAATGTGTATCCTTTGAAAATGTCATCATGAAACGCACTGCCCTGTTTCTTGGTATATAAGTCTCAATTGTTTAAGACATTTTCTAGAATCCTCTTGACAAATGGCCTTTTAAGCATTTTAAGCCTTTTAAGCGTTCATTGGTGATGTGAATCAGTCTTCTAGGATTTGAACTTTTACAAAATTAACAAAACTCATTTTCAGCTAAGTGTCATAAATTAAGTGATTGGGCTAAAGCATGCTATTTTAGGTGTAAAACGTGGTATGACTGTTAAGTGTAAGACTGTTCTGCTTGTATTATTGAGAAGTAGTCTTGCAAGTAGCTCTAAAAGTCGAATTCTGTTTGGAGGAAGATTGACAATTTGGAAGGAAGATGGGTTATATTAAGTTCCATTCTAAATCAGCCAGTTGCTTCATAGTCCCAGCTTGTAAACAGCTCTCGACCTAGCGGGTTAACATGCCTACACAAAGCAGGAGCACGGGCTCTCAGAAGATGCTGAGAAGGAGGGTGTGGAACTGGATCATGGAATCGTAAAGAGTGTGTGTAGAATGGACAGGTGATTAGGCTATGTCCTGCGTCTTTCAGGACTCCCAGAAAAGCGGGATTATTTGTATTTTTAGATTTGAGAGAGAATAAGCGTTTTTGCCCCTCTCAAGGTGATTTTTATGGCCACCTCACTCCCTGCTCTGTGAAAGTTGCTTGGATTTGGGTAAGAGTGGGAACAAAATCATAAGCAGAGTGCCACTGTGTGTGCACATTTAGTTTGCAAACCTGAATTAAGCTGTGTTGTTGTGTTTTTGTGTTTGTTTTTTCCCTTTCCAATGGCAGCCAATTTTAGAATCAGGAGCTGTAGAGCTACTTTGTGGATTAACCCAAAGTGAAAATCCTGCTTTACGAGTGAATGGAATTTGGGCTCTTATGGTATGTTTCACTCTTTTATGTATGTCATCATTTACAAAGAGAATAGAGCTTTTTCAAAGGTAAAACTAAAGAATGTATTATTTGAAACATCTGGATGTTTTTCTTAATCTTGCTATTTTAGTCCAGCTTTCTAATGACCTAGGACCTAGAAGACTCCATATTCAGCTTTCAGATTCAAATATAAGCAACTTACTAGGCCACTGTGTGTCTCTGTTGTCCTACTTATTATTAAGGAAAGTGGACAGATGTTTTAACTTGACATACCTAATTTTGGAAAACAAATTTTCCTTATCATGAACATACTGATGTATGTATAGGGCTACCTACTTTACAAAGCACTTTTGTGTCTCCTTTGTTTTTTAAAATTTTATTTTTAAATTACAGTTTACATTTAATATTATTTTGTATTAGTTTCAGGTATGTAGAATAGTGGTTAGATAATCATATACTTTACATAGTGATCCCACTCCCACCCCTGATATTTTAAGTACCCACCTGGCACCGTACATAGTTATTACAATATTATTGACTGTATATCTGTGCTGTACTTCACACCCCCATGGCTATTTTGTATGTGTCTCCTTTGCTTTTTATAGCAACTTTATTAAATAAGCTAGGGAGTGTGTATATTTTACAGGTAAGTAAACTAAGGCACAGAGTGATTGAATAACCTGTCCATGGTAATAAAATTTGTGTATAAACTGTTTCTAGGAAATGATTTATAATATAAATTTTTAAAATTTATAACTATGAAGCCAAAGAACCATTTATCCTTAAGATTAATAAAGTAAAATTTGTTGAAATCCTATCTAGATTTTTTAAAAACACATTTATAGTAATTACAGTTTAACTGCCATGTACCAGACACTAGGCAGGTGTTTTATACTTATCTCTTCTTCTTACACTAAGTTACGCTGGTATGTATCCACCTTACAGCAAGGACACTGGGACATAGGGAGGGTGAGTGAGTTGCCCAAGGCCTCAGAGCCAGTCAGTGTTGAAAATGGGCTCGAACCTGTCCCAGGCCCATACTGTTCTCCCCGTTCCAGGTTATGTCCACTGTCTTTCCACATGAACTTTGGGATGGAAAAAAATCATCTAAGAAAGTACTGAATCCAGTAGCTTCACACTTATTTCTCTCCTTAACCTTGCACCAGCTTTTAGCACTTTTTCTTGTTGAAACTCCTTCCTAGGAGTTAATTTCTTTTCTACCTAGCTTCCTCTTTAACAGTTTTCTCAGGGGACATTCTCAGAATTTCAGTTCCCGGTTTCCAATTCCCTTTACACTTTGGTTTCAGGCACTTCATCCACTCTCACGGTTTCAACTTCCACTAACAGATGAGGTTACTGTGGAACATACGTAGCCAGACATGACTCCCTGTTCCCAGTTCTATCACTTAATCCATGAGACTACATTTGAGGACTCTCTGACGTGTACGGTTTTAGTATTAAAAATTGAATTTATCATCCTATTCCCCAAATCCACATTGACTATTCTCATTCTCATCAATCTCCATATTACCAGCCAACGTGTTCTCTCTCCACTTACTGTAGAACCTTGGAATCATCTTTGGCCTGGTCTGTTGACATCTTGCTCAGTACTGTTCTTGCTCTTCCATGCCACCTTGCATCATTAGGTATCTTGATCTTTCATACATCTTAACTCTTTAGTTAAAAATAAGTTCCTGGAGGGCAGTACCCACGTACTATAATAAGTCTCTAGTTTACAAGAGATTTTTGTACCCAAAGTTGATTTACAACTTATTTGGAATATACCACTTTTTTTCCTTCAGACATGGAATTATAACTTCAGGTGAAGCTGAGATAGTCCATAATGTATCCAGAAAAGAGAAAATAGCTACTGGCCATCTGGGTTTGCTGGTGGGTTGCTTGGATACAGCCCCTGCCTCCTGCGTGACATGGCCCAGCCGTGTCAACACCCAGCATAGGATTGTGAACACAACAGGTTTCATGCCAGTGGAGTTTAACAAGACCCACTGCTTATTTTCTTCCATAATAAACCTTAATTTTAAGTCATCCTCAAAATGCACGGCACAGTATATACATAGTTGTTAATGGTCATTTTGTTATTAAAGTACACAGCAGGCAACTATGGATACTCTTGGAGAGTATCCTAGTCATGGATTTTCAATTTATTTGAGAAATCTTAAGACACTCCAATGTCAGTGTCAGGAAGCAGTCATATTCCTAATAAAGGAGTAAATACTGAAGTGACCGTTGTTTTTCCCTTGACAGATACAATTATAGATAATTAACAGGAATCAGAAAAATAATGTGACTTATACTTAAGGGGTTTTTGCAGATTCTATTAGTACCTTGAAAATAATCAGTGTTACTATATAATTTAATAAAGCAAATGTAAACATGATTCTTGAAATTTCTTTAACCCTTTCAGAATATGGCATTTCAGGCTGAACAAAAAATAAAAGCAGATATTTTACGAAGCTTGAGTACTGAACAGCTATTCCGGTTGTTATCAGATTCAGATTTGAATGTGCTGATGAAAACACTGGGACTTCTTAGAAATCTCCTCTCTACTCGGCCTGTAAGTAAAATCACTGAGGTTTCCAGATTAGCTTCCCCTACATATCCATTGTGAGACATTGCCCTCCCTTTCCTCTCCAAGTATGATCGAAAAACTCCTTCCCAGAGAAGCAAGGACTTGATGTCTAGACCTGTCACCTGCATAGATGTGCTAGAAGCTGCTTCACCAAAGTGCCACCTGACCCTTCATTCCTGCACTGCCTGTCCTGTCTCCTTCCCCTTCCTCCTTGCTGCGTACAAGCCTGTCCTAATTCGTTACTTTATTCTTACCTGGTTTGCTGACCATGGAGAGTTTTCTTATGGCCTAATCAGTTATCTCTGAGGCCTCTGATTCTTTCACTTTAGAGAATCTCCCTCAGTGGCATTCTGTAGACATACATCCCCAAACCCCACACACACACACACACCCCAGCCCACATGTACTGGATTGACCTCAGAAGATGTCATTGTGGAGAACAGTGGGTATATGGAGGAGCAGGGGAAGCCGAGCCTTGCTCTGGGGTCCCTCTCATTGTTCCCTAATGGGCCCTGAGCAGCATAGTCGGTGGCCATTCATGTAGATGAAAGAACATGAATGGTCCCTTCTCTGTGCCTCATTTGTTGTTGCTTTTATTCAGTTTATTATATAAACTAAAAAGAAAAAAAACAGTTCACTCATTTCCCCCACCCCATGCCATACCCCTTACCTCTAACAACCACAAAACTGTATCTGTATTCATGAGCTTAAATTTCTAATTTCTATAAAAATATTTGTATATGTTATTATGTATTATTATTTATATATCACTTGTTTCTTGAGTCGTCTTTGTACATTTATGCCCCAGATAGCAAGTATAACTATACCATACTGTCCGTGTCTCTGGCTTCCCGCATCTCCTTCACCCATTTTTATGCCTGTTTTCTTTCATCTTTCATATGTTTGGGCTTGAGGATCCCATGTGATTATAATTCTATGTTCTCTCAAGACAAGTCTATGCTCTCTTCATTTTCGAGTCATCAAAAAAAAAAATGTTGAAGGCGAAATATAGCTTTAAAATGTAATACACCCTGTTCTTTGGTATCTGGTTCTATATGCTGTGTTGTTCTCTTTGAAGTAGTTGTGTATTTAGAAGCCTTCTGTTATATCCTATGGTTTGTTCCTTTGTTCCCCAGATGATAATTGTGGATTTCCCATTGTTTTGCAGCATATAGATAAAATAATGAGTACTCATGGAAAGCAGATTATGCAAGCCGTCACTCTTATTCTGGAAGGAGAACATAACATTGAAGTCAAAGAACAGGTACGTGTTCCCTTTTTTTGAGGAATATCTTTTTTTTAAGATTTAAAAAAATTATTTATTTATCTTTAGAGGGGAAGGGAAGAAGAGAGGGAGAGAAACATCAATGTATGGTTGCCTCTCGTGTGTCTCCTGCCTGGGAACTGGCCTGCAACCCAGGCATGTGCCCTGACTGGGAATCAAACCGCAATCCTTTGGTTCTCAGGCCCACATTCAATCCACTGAGCCACACACCAGCCAGGGCTGAGGAATATCTTCTGATTATACCAAGAAAGGTTTTCTGCCACCCGTTAAACTCTCTTTAAGAACTCTTCCCTCTGAAACAGAGAACATGACCAGAGTGTATAGTTTCACTCCCCCTGTCATGTGCTGTACACACTGTCTCGGTCTCCGCAGGGACAGCCGCCTCCCATCATTCTAGAGTGAACCCTCTCTTTAGGTTCACCATTTCTAGTCCTTTCTACCACCATGCTCCGACCTCAAATTCCTGCAGCTCCCTGATAAAATAATCCCTTATGCTGAAAAAAGTTTTTGTTTCTTTATTCTTATACGTTTCTGTTCTTCGTTTGTATCCCTTACCCCTACTTTTTACTGAATTTTGGTAGGTTAGGTTTAGGGTAGGCAAAAAAACAACCAAATAAAAAACAGAAGCTGTGTATTTGTGAGAGGACAATTTGGGAAATACTTTTCTGGAATTTCCTGGAATTTATTATAATTTTAACATAGTACATATTTTATAATTTTAAAAGTCACCTGCATACTTAAAATTTTAACACAAGACCTAAGGTAGAGATAATGTTCAAATATCTAGCATAGGTGTTGACTGTGGGTGTGTTCACTTTCAAAATTCATTGAGCTGTTCACTTACATGTACGGAAGAAACTTGCCAAGTTCGACAGTTCTGGAGTTAGAGTCATTCAGCAGGCTTTAAAGAACAACCCAGAAAGTCAGAGTGGTAGGACTTAGGAGCTGAGATTGAATTTGGGGACAAAAAAAGGTGGTATATTTGACAAAGTTGTTTTAAGACAGATACTTTAGATGATTTCTCTTTAAATTCAATAACAACTGTTTGTTGGTGAACAAAAATTTAACACAGAAAAAGTACAATTTCTTAAGCATCACTGAAATTAAGTCGATTGAGATTTATTACTGGAATACAACAACGAGGTTAACACACATTGTTCAAAAGAAATTTTCTACCTGGAGAGCATAGGAGTGAATATCGTGTATTAAAGACCACTCATCTAGATAGAGTTCCACTAACTTGAAAAGTAAAAGCAAGGTTAGGCAAGAGTTGGGTGAGGTCAAAAGAAAAGACCAACAACATCAACAGTAATGTGTTTTGGCAGAACACAAATAATACGCTTACAGATTTTGGTGATGGTTTAAAAGTAGGCAGCTATGGAAGGCTTAAAGTGTTTGGTTGTTAGCTGGAAGTTTAACTCCTCCCAAAAGCATCTGATAAATTTTGTTTTCTTTTATATTAAGGTGTGTTGATATAAAATTAGCTGCATGTTTTTAAAATGTAGAATGTGATAAATTGATATGCACACACTGTGAAATGACCACTGCCTTCAGATCAGGGACAAGACAGTTCTTACCAACCCGATTCAACATGGTGCAGGAATTCCTACCAAGCACGGCAAGGAAAAAGGGAAAAGAAAAGGCACGCAGGTTGGAAAGAAGGAAAACTATTCCCAAAGACATGAATTTCTATGTGGAAAATGCTGTGGACTCATCAGAAAAGCTAGAGCTAATCAGTGAGTTAAGCAGCGCCACAAGATATTATAGAAGAATGAACTGCATTTTTAGATAGTAGCAGTGATCAAGTGGAAATTGCAATTTTAAAAACTACCATTTGCAGGAGCTCAGAAAAAAATGAAATATGTAGAAATCTCTGAAAATAGGTGCAGGATCTATATGTTGAAAACTACAAAACACTGATAATGAAAGCAACCCAGGACCTAAGTAAATGAAGAGGTATATATTATGTTGAAATGTCAGTTTTCCCCAAGTTGTTTACAGACTCAATACAGTCCTAATCAAAATTCCAGCATGACTTTTGGTAAATATGAGTACAGGTGTAAATATCTGAAACCTCTTTCTTTAGATATAGATCGTAAAATCTCTTGGAAAGGCAAGGGAACTAGAATAACCAAAGCAGTTTGGGGGGGGGGGAGAAAACAAGGTTGGAAGATTCACAATACCTGCTTTTAAGACTTAACGATAAAAGTAATGCAATCATGACAGTGTGCTGTTAGCAAAAGGATAGCACATGTACGTGAATAGAACCAAATAGAATCTAGAAATAGACTCACACCGAAATGGCCAGTTTATTAATAAAGATGCAAATGCAGTCCAGTGGAGGAAAATGGTCTGTTCAACAAGTGGTGGTGTAGGGGGTGGGGGCAGGTAGAAGAGGGCAAAGGGGAAATAAATGGTGATGAAAGGAGACTTGACTTTGGGTGGTGAACACACAATTCAGTGTACAGATGATGTGTGATAGAACTGGACACCTGAAACCTATATAAGTATTAACCAGCATCACCCCAATAAATTCAATTAAAATTTTTTTTTAATTTTTGGCATGGTAACAGTTGCCAAAAAATTACTTTTAACTCTATTTCATACCTTAGACAAAAATTAACTCAAAATGAGTCATAGACCTAATATAAAAGGTAAAACTATAAACTTTTAGAAAGAAATGCAGGAGAAAATCTTGGAGATCTTAGATTAGGCAAAGAGTTCTTAGATGTGACACTAAAAATATCATCTAGTAAAGGCAAATGGACTTCATCAAAATCTAAAGCTTCTACTGTGTGAAAGGCACTATTCAGGGAATGAAATGACAAGCCCTCCACTGGAGATCATTTACCTGACCAATGGCTTGTGTTCAGAAGATATAAAGAACTCTGAAAACTCAACAATAGAAAAGACAGTCTACCAAACATAAAAACTGAGCAAAAGATATGAACAGACACTCCCCAGTGAAATTTTTCTACACATCACTTGGTATGGCTATAATTTTTAAAACAATAGACAACACAAGTACTAGCAAGGATGAAGACAGCTGATGGGAATGCAAAATGATACATTTTGGAAAATAGTTTGGCACTTTCTTAGAAAGTTAAGCATGTACTTAGTAGACAACCTAGCAATCCCATCCCTAGACATTCATTCATGCAAAATGAAAATCTGTGTTCACACAAAAACCCGTATGTAAAAGTTTATAGCAACTTTATTTGTAATTACTGAAAACTAGAAACAAACCAAACATCCCTTCAGTGGGTAACGACAATACAAACTGGTATACCTACAGAATGGAATATCAGTCAGCAGTAAAAACGGACAGATGCTGATACAGGGTTCCAGGGCTTGAAGGCCGGGGAAGAATTTGACTGTCAAGGGACAGCGTAGGAAAATTGCGGGGAGAGAAGAGGTAGAACTGCTGTGTATGTTGAATGCAGATTGTAATGGTCATTTTAAGACTCCATACATTTTTTCAAGTAAAACTAACACTGAAAGAGTGAATTTTACTATATTTAATAATTGTATTGTTGGTTTTTACAAGAAAAAATTTTGTTGGGATTGTGGTTATATTGAATTTGTAGATCAATTGGAGGAGAAGTGATATCTTAGTATTGAGTCTTCCAATTTATGAATATAGTATCCTATCAATTTAAGTTTTCTGTAATTTTTCTTAGCAGTGTTTTGTAGTTTTCAGGTATTCGTAGTATGTAGGTATTACACTTCTTTGGTCAAATTACTCCTAAGTATACCATATTCTTGATGCTATTGAAAGTGGTATTTTTTAAAAGATTTTATTTCTTTATCTTTAGAGGGAAAGGAAAGGAGAGAGGGAGAGAAATATCAATGTATGGTTGCCTCTTGTGTGTCCCCTGCTGGAAACTTGCCTGCAACCCTGACTGGGAATCGAACTGTGATCCTTTGGTTCTCAGGCCCACGCTCAATCCACTGAGCTACGCCAGCCAGGGCTGAAAGTGGTATTTTTTAAAAATTTATTTCCAATCACACATTGCCAGTATATAGAAATACAGCTTTTGTATACTCACCTTTGATCCTGCAGTCTGGCTAAACTCACTTTTCATCTTTTTTGTGGATTACTTAGAATTTTTTACAAATGATGTCATACGTGAGTAAAGACAATTTTACTTACTACTTATAATCTATATGCTATTGCATCATTTCTCTTGTGTTATTGCTCTAGTACAACTTCTATACAGTGAGTAGAGGTGGTGAAATTGGACATGTTTGCCTTATTCCCAAAGTTAAAGGAAAGGCATTCAGTTGTTTATCATTAAATATGTAAGGTGTGATCTTTCATACCTTTATTAGGTAGAAGAAATTCCTTTCTCTTCCTAATTAGTTGAGAGTTTATATCATGAGTGGATCTTAGATTTTTTTCAGTCAATTACTTTTTTGGCATCTATTGATATGTTTTTGTTTTGTTTTAGTTTGAATAATATGGTGAATTCTACTTACTGGGTTTTAGCTATAAAACTAATCTCGAACGACTCCCACTTGGTCATTATGTTTCATCCCTTACATATATTGTTGGATTCAATTTACTGAAATTTGGTAAGGAATGGTTCACATCTCTGTTCACAACAGAGTTTTCTTGTGATGTCTTTGCCTGGTTTTGATCATGGGGTAATACTTTCCCCAGGGATAAGGTAGAGATGCTCCTTCAGTTTTCTGCAAGAATTTGTGAAGAATTGCTATTCTTTCTATTTAAAATGTTGGTAAAATATACTAGTGAAGCCATCTGGGCCTGGCATTTCTTTTGTGGATAGGTATTTACCTGTAAATTCTGTTTCTCTCTCTATATAGGACTACCCAGGTTATCTCTTTCTTCTTGAGTGAGCTTAGGTATTATGTGTCTTTGAAGAAATTTGTCCATTTCATCTACATTTTAAAATTTGTTAGCATAAAATTGTTCGTAATATTGTCTTACTATCTTTTTAAAGTTTGTAGTATTCTTTGCAGTGTCTCATCTTTTATTCTTTATTGGTGATTCCTTTTTTCATGATAAGTCTGACTAGAGGTTTATCAATCTATAAATTTTCTCAAAGAAGCAGCTTTTGGTTTCATTGATTTTTTTTTCTCCCGTTATTTTTCTATTCTCTCTTTCAGGGGTTGGCAAACTGTTTCTACAAAGAGCAAGACAGGTATTTTAAGTTTTGCGGGCTATTCAGTCTCTGTAGCAACTGTTCAGCTGATCTGGCCTGAAAACAGCTATAGCCAATACGTAAGCAAGTAGACATGACTGTCTTCCAATAAAATTTTATTTACAAAAACAGGCCATAGGTTGGATTTGGCCCACAGGCCATAGTTTGTCAGTTCATACTCTATATCTTTGATTTTCAGTTGTTCGTGTGTGTGTGTGTGTGTGTGTATAGTTTTTTTAATATATATTTTATTGATTATGCCATTACAGTTGTTCTATGTCCCCCTTCATTCCCCTCCGCCCTGCACACCCCTCCTCCACCATCCCCCCCTTTAGTTTATGTCCATGTGTCTCAAGTTCTTAGATTCTATATTTCCCCTACTATTCTTGCCCTCCCCCCTGTCTATTTTCTGCCTACCATCTATGCTACTTATTTTCTGTACCTTCTGTCTCTTTCTTCTCCTTCCACTCCCCTGATGCTACCCCTCCATGTGATCTTCATTTCTATGGTTCTGCTCCTGATCTAGCTGTCCTCTTAGTTTGCTTTTGTTTTAGGTGTGGTTCTTAATAACTGTGAGTTTGCTGTCCTTTCACTGTTCATATTTTTTATCTTCTTTTTCTTAGATAAGTCCCTTTAATATTTTATATAATAAGGGCTTGGTGGTGATGAACTCCTTGAATTTGATCTTATCTGAGAAACACTTTATCTGTCCTTCCATTCTAAATGAAAGCTTTGCTGGATAGAGCAATCTTGGTTGTAGGTCTTTGGATTTCATGACTTGGAATACTTCTTTCTAGCCCCTTCTTGCCTGTAAGGTCTCTTTTGAGAAATCTGCTGACAATCTGATGGGAACTCTTTTGTAGGTGACTGTCCCCTTATCTCTTGCTGCTTCTAGGATTCTCTCCTTTATTTTAATCTTGGCTAATGTAATGATGATGTGCCATGGTGTGTTCCTTCTTGGGTCCAACTTCTTTGGGACTCTCTGAGCTTCCTGGATTTCCTGGAAGTCTATTGCCTTTGCCAGATTGGGGAAATTCTCCTTTATTATTTGTTCAAATAAGTGTTCCACTTGTTGCTCTTCCTCTTCCCCTTCTGGTACCCCTATAATTTGGATGTTGGAATGTTTAAAGATGTCCTGGAGGTTTCTAAGCCTCTCCTCATTTTTTTTGAATTCTTGTTTCTTCATCCTTTTCTGTTTGGTCATTTTTTCCTTCCTTCTGGTCCACTCTCTTGATTTGAGTCCCAGTTTCCTTTCCATCGCTATTGTTTTTCTGTGCATTTCCCTTCATTTCAATTAGTTTAGCCTTCATATGTTCCTCTAATTTGTGACTAAAATCAACCAGTTCTGTGAGCATCCTGATCACGAGTGTTTTGAACTGTGCATCTGATAGGTTGGCAATTTCTTGTTCACTTAGATTTATCGGCTCTGGGGCTCTGAGTTCTTCTTGAGCCATGTTTTGATCTGTTCGCGCCTGTTATGTATGAGAAGCGGAGCCTTAGGTGTTCACCAGTGCGTGGGCCACCCAGGTTGCTGGGTTGTGATGCTGTATGTGGGGGCGGGGTCAGAGAGGGGTGATAGCAGTCCCTTCTGCTGCTTCTCGCTGCTGGGCCCTGCACGATCTGTCTCACTGCTTGCTCCTTCACCTGGTTTATTTGCGCGTGAATGTGTGATCGAGATCAGCCTGCTGCCTTGCGCCCTCAGTGGGTCCACCCGTTGCTTCTCCACACATGGGATTCATCCTTGGCTGCCTGGGTTGCATGCCTGGGTCAGTCCAGTGGGTCTTTCCTGCCCAACCCTGCTCCGCTGCTGGCTCTGCTCCTCTTACCATTCTGGCTGAGTGGTTCGTTGTTGTCAGACTTCAGTATAGTTCAATTTTCTGTGTTTTGGCTGCGTTTTTGTTACTAAAACTTTGTTGTTTTTAAACTTGGTTGTGCAAGAAGGTACAGTGTTTCCACCTACGCCTCCATCTGGTGGAAGTCTCCTGTATATAGCTTTTATCTCTGCTGTCTGTATCATGTAAAACTGGCTTGGCCTACAAACTGATAGATCTCTTTAAGATTTGATTTCTTGTCTCCATAGGAATATTTACAGTAGGGGGTGTGTAGGCTTCAAAGTAGAACTGTAGTTCACTCTGCCATACTATACAAGCCTGAGTATGTGTGGGTATATTTTAACACTCTGAGAAGGGGACTCACTCACTTATTTTGCTGACCCAGCCTTTTCTGAGGAATATGTCCATAAATCCCCCCTTATATTCTGTCTTAACTGGGTAAGAGTGGGGTAGTTCAAAAAGGTGTTTATCATTCATTTTGTCCTCTTCCTAGGAATACCCAAGTCATGAAGCCCTTAAAATTCTTATCCATGGTTAGAGTCATTTCTATTATTTCCTCTCAGGTGCTCTGGCCAACTCACAGGGCTGAGTCTTTCTGGTGAGAGATAGGTGGAAAATTGAGAACAGGAGAGAAAGTAGTTATGATTCTTCCACATGCCGCCCTGCCCACCTCTCAGCCAGGCTTTCCTTCTGTTCCCATCACTTGCCTGCACTCTCTGCAGTTTGGTTTTGTGTTAATCAAGTCTGGTAGCACCTCACTGATGAGGATCATCCTGCTGGCTTTTTCTTGGAAGGTGGGATTACTGTAAAGCTTCCTTTTCTGAGCCTTTCTATAATCACATGAAGAGAGAGCAGAACTAGAAGAGTCTTTATTTTGCCTTCATCACTGAGGCCGATCGTGCCAGGCATGGACTGCAAGAATGTTAGGACATAGGCTGGGAAGGAGGGAGAGAGGAGTGGATACTCACTGTATGCAATCACCCAACGGGACTAGAATGTAGGATGAGCAATCATCAGTTACATGAGTCTGATATCATCTTGAACTTGAACCTCCTAAAAACAGTTGACTGTCAGCTCTTTTCCAAACTAATTACTCCTGTGAATTCCATTTGTTATGCTCATGTTTGTCCCCTCATAGGATTGTTCCCATAAGAGACTCACCAAGAGTGTGTACCCATTATTATTAATTTTCTTAGGCGTAATGATAGGATTGTAGTATGTAGGAAAATGTCATTATTCTTAGTATATTCTAAAGTACTTAGAGGTTAAGTATCATGATAATTTTCAACTTTCTTTGGAATGGTTCAGAAAAAAGTAAAAAAATAAGCACTTCCACAAACAAACACATGCATGCACATACCCACACTCTTTAGAACAAATATGGTGCGGTGTTTATGATGTTGAATCTAGGTAGTAATGTATGCATAGGTGTTCATCGTACTGTTCTAAATTTCTCAAAATTTAGTGATTTTTAATAATAAAAAGGGAAGAAAATAGTCCCAACCTGTTTATTCCCCCTACTGCTTCATCTGTCCTGAGAAATTCAAGGGTGTCGTACCTGCCAAGACTTCTGACAGACCAGGTACCAGATCACTTGGACATCTAGCACCTTCCCCAGGTCATCTCTCTCCCACTTCTGGGGCATATCAAGGTCTCTTTGTCATGATTTATTTGCCTCTGAGGGTGTCTTCCTCTAGTACCAATGCGGTGGTTGTCCTCAAGATGTGTGTCCTGCCAGCTGGCACAGGCTCCGGTCTCCACGTCAAGCCCACTCTCAGAGGAAGAGACTGGCCGCATTAGCTGTCCTTCCACTCTCACAGCCAGACCCACAGGAGGCAGGATTAAAGTACAGGCGGAGGACTGCAGTAGGGATACTGAGCCAGTGCCGGCCTTAGCAATTCAACAGACATTACTAGGCACCTATAGTGTGCAGGCACTCCCCAGGGCATCGAGACGAAACACGAATAAGACGCGAGCCCGATCTTGGAAGGCTCCACACAATTACATTTCACTCACTGTGGTGTGACTGAGATAAAAACAGACCCAAGAAAGCACAAAGTAAGCACACTTGCTTGAACTGCAAGTCAGGGAAGCTTCTTGGAGGGAGTGACACTGAGCCCAGATCAGCATCAGTCAGGAATCACGCAAAGAAAGAGATGAGAGGTGGGGCGGGGGAGTCTGAATTCACATAATTTTCTCCAACTTCAGTCCACAGTTTGTTTTCCTTCTTTTCCTGTAATAGGTTTCAGAAAAGTCGAGTGCATGGCTAGTGGGCAGGGTTCAGGCCTTTCCCCAGAAGAGCATGTGCTTGTGAGCAAGTAGCATTTGGAAAGAGAGGGAGGGGACTTGGAACACTTCAGAAGCTTGCCCCAAAGACACTGCCTCTTTGAAGAAACCTTGTGGGACAGTCACAGGAGCTTCTTTTAGGAATGGAGTGTTTGAGAAAATAATAATAAATTGTTTTCCCTTTTATTTATGTGATAGCATGAACTTTAAGACATGTGTGCCTTTGCCCAGCAATGTCTTATGCCCAGAAATACAACACTGAAATGTTCGGGTTCCTCAGGCATTGTTACTCTTGTTGGCAGTGCGGCCAGGGGTGAGAAGTCAGGGCATTCAGACTGGAACCTGTAAGAATCCAATCTGGGAAACTGCCCAGATTCCTGAGAGAGCTGTCTTGGGACTTCAGAGTTTTCCTGATCGCTGGCCCTTTGTTCTTTTCCAGACACTGTGCATCCTAGCCAACATAGCAGATGGGACAACGGCAAAAGAACTCATTATGACCAATGACGACATCCTGCAGAAAATCAAGTATTACATGGTAGGCCTTGGTTTCCTTTCACTGCTCTGCACCAGCTTTGCATTAGAAGGCAGGGACTTCTAACAGATTCAAGGAACTCTCTTCTGTCTTAAAGAAAAAGAAATAAGAGCAAGTCCTAGAAGCTTCTGCCATTGGCAGTATTATCATCCACCCTACTTCCCGCCCTTGTCATCTAATTGCCTCTCTCTTACTCAGTGAAGACTTGGACATTCGGCTTTCTCCCAGAATCCCCCAATCCCTGCCTTCCCTCGAGGCTTTGATTTTATGTGGGTGAACCCTCTAGCCCTCTGGCACCTGTTCCTTGATCTGGTTACTACCAAATACATTTTGCCACTTACTTACAAATACTTCAGCCACCAACTCTTATGACAATACCCTTGATTGTATCACCAGGAATTGCTAGTTGCCAAAATGTGGATATCAACCACTCATCCTCTTTTCAGTCTGTCGATGTGGTGTAGCAAAGCCCTGACTGTGGGTGAACCTGTGTGCTCTTTGCTTGCCATGTCAGAGCCAGCAGCTGTAGAGAATGGCACAGAGCCAGGCCGACTGGTTCGTGCTAAATTCACATTTACAACCTGGAGAGGCACTCAGTACTGCCTGGCTCCCTCCTGTGATTCTCCAGCAAGCCAGCGCCCTCATTCTCCACAAGAATAGGTTCTTACCTTCCATTCTGTTTTATTTTTTTAAGATTTTATGTACTTATTTTTAGAGAGAAGGGAAGGGAGGGAGAAAGAGGGAGATAAACATCAATCTGAGGAACATCAATCCATTGCCTCTCATATGTGCCCTGACCGAGGACCTAACAAGAAACCTAGGCATGTGCCCTGACTGGGAATCCAGCCAGCAGCCTTTTGCTTTGTAGGGAATAGCAAGACTCAGTCTTGTTATTTTTGGAGATGTTCCTATAAAAATAAGAGTAATTTAAATCAGATAATCAGTAGTTGAAGGGACAAATACAAAATGTCTACCTATCCAATTATTGGCTGCTAGTGACCTGAATGTTTCCTAATAGACGTAAACCATAGCTTTAGCCACAAGCTTAGAATTGCCTCGTCAGTGTGGCCTGAATGGTAAATTACAAATGGCAGCTATGGCCTTAGAGATGTTTCATGTGGCCAGCCAGAGCGTGTCCAAAATTTGAAGGTAAATGTCGTGGCAAGGCTTCACTTTCAAGTTTGCCAGGTCCTCCATCATTTTTTATTGTCTTGAGTCTAATCCAGTCACTCATCATTGCTAACTTTGTGGCCCCTCAAGACATTTGAATTTGAACCTCCTGCTTCAAACTTTTAGGCTGTTGGGATTATTTATAGTATGTCACACACACGAAAATAATCTAAAATGAGATTACCTCCATTTTTATTTTTCTTTTTTGCATCAAATAGGGTCATTCACATGTTAAACTGCAGCTTGCCGCTATGTTTTGTATATCAAACCTCATATGGAATGAAGAAGAAGGTAAGAGATTAGTGAAATTTCTTCTGAAGAAAATTATGGGAAGAAAGTCCCGCTCAGGGAAGGCAGCAGCCACCCCTGAGATCCTGGGTGTAGAGGTGCGGCTCACCAGTCCCAGGCATCCAACAGCGTCACCTTGGGAAACTGTGGGAGGAGCCTGAGTCAGCCGACAGTTAACACTGAGCCCCCACCTTAGAGTCTACACTGTAGAAGTGGCAGTCCCTGCCCGTGAGAGAGCTGAGGAGGAGGACAGTGAGGCGCACTTGGAGAAGACGAGAGGTGAGAGTGAGTGAGAGGATAGGCCTTTCGCTGTGTGCAGAGGAACACTTATAAGGACCAGGGGCAAATCAGCTGAGTGGAGAAGAGGGTACCGTGGTGAGAAATGAGAACCGCAGTGTGGCTGCGAGGCGCCATCCTGTCAGGAGGCTTCTGTTGGTCAGAGGTTCTCCATGTTGGCTGGATATTAGAATCTCCTGGGGTATTTTGGCATCAAACCAGTTAGTTCAGAATCTGAGGAGTGGGCTCCAGGCATAAGTTTTTTAAAACTCCGCAGATGATTCCAACCCCCAGATACAGGAGAGCACTGGGCCTCAGTGCTGGGTTGGCTGCACAGAAGTCACTTGGTGGAACTTTTTAGAATGCGGACTTCTGGGTTCCACCCCTAGAGCTTCTGGTTCACTGGGTCTAGAGGGGGTCAGTACGTGAGTGAGTCACCGTAGCTCTTCAGTGGGGAGGAAAGACTCCAGGCGGATTACCCTGCTGAGCAACTGTATCCAGAACAAAGGAGGAGGAGGAGAAACTGGACTCTTAAGTACAGGCCCTAGAGTCCAAGTACCATCCAGGCACCAGGGAAACAAGGCTCTGCTCAGAAGGTTCTAATCTAGTTGGAAGATAGAACAGAGCTGTATCTGTTCTACCAGATAGTTAAGTTGGAACTACCACGTACTAATGAGATGCAGCACAAAGCACTGGGAGGTTAGTGGAGTGGAGGGAAGAGAAAATAAAGAGGAGAACAAGATCTGTGTGGGGTTGGAAGAACCTTGCTTGGTAAGTTCAGAAAGAAATGATAAAGCTGGAGTCTGATGACAGAGGACCTTATGCCAGGCTGGAGAATCTGACCTGAACCTGACAGTCCGTGGAGAAAATTATCAAGGAGCAGAACACGGGGTGGATTGCAGGAGGGAGGGTCTAGAGGCAGAGAGACTGGTCGGAAGGAACACTGTTGGAGCATCCGAGCAGGAGGGGTTCTGACTACACAACGAGGGGGAGGCCAGGCGGGTGGGAGGGTGGAGAGCGAAGGACACTAGCAGGCTCTAGATGGTTGACTGTACACCAAGGAGAGCAGCTGCCCGGGTCATGTGCCCAGTAACCTGTTAGCTTTAATCTCTTAGGTTCACAAGAACGCCAGGATAAATTACGAGACATGGGCATTGTAGATATTCTACACAAACTGAGTCAGTCACCAGATTCAAACCTTTGTGACAAGTGAGTATCAAAAGGGCCTTGCTTTGGGGCACATTGGATTCTTTTATGAAGAATTTGAATTGTTTAGTAATTAACATGGCCAAACTTAAAATCTTTTAGCTTCTTGGATTCCTTTTTTAATTTTCCATGAACCAACTATGACGTTTGAGTAAGAGCTAAACTAATAATTAGCAAATTAATAAAGATGCTCATGTTACTCTGAATTAACACGAGACTGGGCCAGCTTAGTAGGTATCTGGGAGGATCCAGAAGCTACTCCTTTCCATCCCTGTAATCATCAGAGTAGACATGCATGTGGCCTTTGGGAAAGCAGAAAGGAAGTTATTAATTAATAAAGCATTGACTCAAAACCTCACTGTGCACCTGTCATGTGCTGGCTTGGCTGCTGGGGATACAGCAGTGACAACTACGGAGTCCCTGTTGTCAAAGCGCTCACCCTTTAATGTGGGAGGCAAGAGTCATCTCCAGAGATTCCTCTAACCTCGAAATAGCCGAAGTTTCTTCCTTGCTGTGTACACTCCTCTGTAACACAGCCTTCACTGTTCAACTCACTTCTGTGCATACAGTGATGATACAAGAAACATCCACTCTTTTATTCTCTTACTCAGAAGCCCACTGTGGTTTGGCTCTGCCTTTCCCCTCCCCTACGTTCCCCTTCCTACCTTGTGTCCATCCTACCTGCCCTCTTCCAGTATGACACTTTCATGTTCCATCTTGATTTGCCATCTCAGTCCCCTCTCTTCAGAATCCCCCATTTATTCAACAGACATTTGTTCGTTTTGTAATACTAAGCTCTACAGGCACCATCTTAGGCATCAATGATATAAATAAAATTAGTGTAAGTCCTTGTCTTCGTGGCACTTACATTCTGGTACAAAAGACAGACAATAAGCAAACAACTGTGTAATGCGCTAGCAGGTAATGAGATGCACTATGACTAGAAAGCAAGTTGAGGGACTGGAGAATAAGAAAAGTTCTTTTCATACAGATTAGTCAGTAAAGGCGTATCTGAGGATGTGACATTTGATCAAAGACCTGGATGAAATGCAAGTCTGCCAGACAGATGTTTAGAGGAAGAGTGTTCCAGGCAGAGGGGCAGTAAGTTCAAGGGCTTGAGGCAGTAATGAGCTTGGCATGTTCAAGGAATAGCAGCAAGACCACAGGGGTTGGAGAAAAAGAGAAAGGGGGAAAGTGAGAGAAGTGGGCTCAGGGAGGTGGTAGGGAGCAAGTAAGGAGCCTCGTAGCCAACAGTAAGGACTTTGGATTTTATTCAGAGTTTAATAGGGAGTCATTGGAGAGTTTTGAGCAAAAGAGACATCTGATCTGAATTTTTAGAGGATCTCTCTGGGGGCTGTGTAGAGAATCATCTGTAATAGGGCAAGAATGGAAACGGGGAGAACAGTTCAAGGCTATTGTCATGTACATAAAAAATGAGGGTGATGGTGGTAGAAGTTCCAAGAAATGGTCAGATTCAGGATTTAATCTAAAGGTAGAGCCAACAAGGTTTGTTCAGGGATTTGATGTAAGATGTTTAAGAACGAGAGGAAAGAAAAATACCTATAGTTTTAGCCTGAGCAATTGCATAAGGAGTTGTCATTTACCAAGACGGTGAGGACTATAAGAGAAGTGGATGGGGGTAGAGAGAATCAAGAATTCTTGTTTGGGCATGCCAGCTTTGAGATGCCTGTTAAATAAACAAGGGACTTGGAAGAGTGGGGCTGCACATACAAGTTTGGATGGTATATAAAACCACAGAGCTTGATGAGGTCATGGAGGGAGAATAAGAGAGGAGAGAAGATAGGAGAGCTAAGGACCATGTTCTGGGGTCCTTGAACATGTAGGAAAAGATGTGCAAGATCAGCACAGGAATGGAAGAAGTACCCATGAGGCAGGCAGAGAGATCAGGTGCATAGGTGTCCTGGAAGCAGAAGAGAATGCCTAAACAATGGCCATTTATCCTTCAAAACTCCAGTAAGTCTTGCCTGATCTATTTTCCACTCTAACCCCCAGCCTGTGCCAGGGACCCCTTCTGTGCTCCCATTGCTCCCATAGAACATATCACACTGTGTCATAGTTGACAGCCTGCTTGTCTGATCCACCAAAGGGAAGAGGCACTTGGTAATAACTCTTCCTTGAATGAATGTCTGTGCCAGACTGGAGCACACAGAGCTGGGCCTGTGCCTTCCTGAAGCTTATAGTCCAGTGCATTAAGGAAGAGGGAGACATCCCTGAGTAACTAACTATAGCTCAAGGCTGCCGAGGGTCTCATCAAAGGCAAGTCAAAGCCAGCCGTGAAGTGAAGGCTAGACTTGAGCTGTACCTTGAGGGCCTCCACTTCTACCTCCACAGCAGTAGTAATAGTCGCAGGCTTAAATGATGGGCTCTATCAGTCCATCCCTGCCAGCCAAGAACCAGATTATTCCCTGAGTAGCACTGTTACGTTTGTTCAGAAATGATTGCAGTTCTGCTTTCAGTCACCTTTGGGATGACCTGGAACACTACAAGAGGCCTCACCAGCATGATGTAGGATAGGTTTGAGCCCTGGCCTACATGGCTTAGACCAGTCTGGTATTGTTCAAATTTGTATGGCACATAAGTTTTCAACAGTTGCTAAACTTAAACCTCTAGAATAAAGGCCTGGACTACCCTACCTAAGTTCATCTAAGGAAAGATGACCTTGCTTCCTTAGATACTAATAGATAGCACAAACAATAAGGGCACAGTCTCAGCTAACCTTTGAGAAAGATCCAGGTGTCTGAATTGGCAGTTTTAAAGAGTAATACAGAGTTTTGATCAAAACCCTCTTGTGGATATTCCCACCCTGTGCCACAGTAAAGCCTATTATCTAAAGTAGACATGTCTCAGGTTTCTTCTGTTGTTAAGGCTTCGGGAGCCTTTGACTTTCAAACACAGGTGAGGAACTGTTGCTGACCAGCCCTCTCCACCCCAGGCCCAGAGGGCATCAGGTTTTTGGGGGAGAAGTGGATGGTCATTCGGGGTAACATGACATCAATCATAAACTCCTTTCTGTAGGAAGATTTCCTTATAGAACCCAACTCACTCATAACTTGGAGACAGTCTTCTGATGGGTTGAACTATTATAACTATTATCTTTATAGAGTCTTAGATAATTGCAAGAATATCCCTAAGTATACTACTTTTAAAACTGTAGATCATATCTATTACTTTGCCGTATAGAAACCGCATGTGAGTCCAGCTTATTGCATGCCCAATCTACTTGCTTTCAACAGCTAATAGTAACTGAAAATGTTAGCCTTTCCTAGTTAACATAGAAGGGAAAGCCATTACTAAAACCTGACTTCCTAATTCCCACAATTGCTGTGTCTTTAGAAACTTTGCTAAGCTCATAACAGGAGTAGTAAGGGAGGCCTCCTCAGCCCTAGCTCCAGTCACTGCCCACGTCATACCTGATCCTCTGCAACTAGTGAGCGTGAGTGTTCAGGCACCATAATAAACACACACCCCATGTCGATCAGTGTCATCGTCAGGAGAAGATGCGATGAGACTGTAACCAGTTTTGAGGCATTGGAACCATGATGCTGCCCCTTCCCATGAGCTCTTAGCCCTTCCACGCACCTTCTAATCAGCACCTAAACACCTTCCTGGGTCAGTTTTTAGTTTCACAAACCTTCGGTGTCCTTTGCAGTGTTCTGTAGCACTAGATAAAAGCTGCATGGCAATAGGCCATGATTCCAGATCCGCGACAACTATATGCCAGTGACAGAGGAAAACTACAGTGTCACTGGGCTGCAGCAGATCTGAGAATGAGTGCAGCCCTTTCTGAGAACCCCAGGAAGGGGGATGCAGCCAGCTGGGTTGGACGTGTCCTCTGACTGCAGACTTCTGCCCCATAGGGCAGGTGCCCGGCTGGCCTCACCCCAGTGCACTTTGGGAAATCTAACGTTTTAGACTTTCCCCACTACCATCTTTAAGCCCCAGGTTTTTCCCCTCATTTATACTTCTGAGATGATGACCAAAGGAACTTTGTGATTTCAGGGCCAAGACGGCACTGCAGCAGTACCTGGCGTGACTCGAGCACCCTGGGCACCTGTGAGCATCCCACGTCCTTGTTAAAGGAAGTACAGGAACTAGCCTCATTTGATTCCTTCTATTTGCACAAGTCACCTTGGACTGCAGGGAGCTGTTTTGCAAAAGCAATTTGGTAGGCTTAGATCTCAAATTCATCTTGAGAACATATTTTTGAGGTAGTAATTTCCTCAGAGGACTATTGTGTTTTGTTTTGGTTTGGTTTTTTTCCCGAACTACCTGGACTCTTTATTAGAACAATCGATCGTTTTCCTTTGGACCTACAATTTTTTGCCTATGCTGCAGCCACTTTGGGAGTGAGAATGAATGTGTCTGTGTGCACACGGTTGTGTGTGTGCGTGTGCATGTGGGTCAGGATGAATGGATGTGTGAGGGGGGTATCTTAAAATTTTCTTTTCTTATTTTGTGTGAAAATCTCTTTTCTACAGATTTTCCAGGGTTTAAGCATTGCTTGCTGTATAAAAAAAAAAAAAAACTTTACTGAATTATATACAGTTTGAATGAAATGTTATTTTAAAAACAAAACAGTTGTTAAGTGTTCCATAAAAGTTATGTTGAATTTTGGTCAGATGAATATTTGTAAGTAAAAAAATATATGCATTTCTGAACCTCAATTTACATAGATTTTCTTTATAAAAGAACAAAAAAATTTAAAAAAAAAAGAAAAAGGAAAGGTTGGCTATCGTTGGCCTGAGTAACAGGCATAATACATGGTGCTGTGCAAAATAGTAAGCTAGCCTCTTACTGCCGTCAGTATCGGCCTGGCTCAATAAGCTCTCCGACTTCAAGTCAGACGTACGGGGTGGAGTACAGTAAGGGGACAGATTCAGCTTAGGTCTTTTGAAGCATCAAAGGGAAATATTAACTACTGATAGTGAAAGCCCAGCCATAACCCTGGTTCCTTGGCAGGAACTGGGCACCCAGAGCCTCTCAACTGCCCTCAATTCTGTCATGGGTGTAGCAGTTATCTGGCAAGAGTTAGAACCAGTCATAGAACCTTATGCTCAAGCTTATCACATCCTGGAAACAGTGTCGGGTCGCCTCGTGCTTCCTGAAGCAGCATATATCACTATGAGATTTAAAAATGTTCTACACACCCATTTCTGGAAAGAAGCCAAAAGCAGGATAGTTTAGAAAGCTGTTTTTCTCTGCGAGATGTGGCAAATTCCATACTAGTCACTCAGGACTGCTGTTGAGTGCCCTTTTGGAAAATGATAATAGAAATTATAGTGAGAGATGTGGCTAAGACTGTTTCCTGCAAGAAGCCAAAAGCACTGAAGTTTGAAAGAAAGACAGGGACTCTCCCCAGGAGGACTGAAGATAAGCTCTTTTCACGGCGAGTACTGCTTAGCCCTTCTGCACCCCTTAGCTTGGCGTCTGCTCCAGCCACTGGGTCAGCTTCAAGGTGAACTCAACAGAGGTTGCTCTTGACTGTTTGAAGATAGAACCAGCCTTCCTTTCCCTTTGTTAAAGAAAGTCAAAGGCACTGTGGTCAGGAAGTGTGGTCTGTGGCCCAGAAGCTGGCCATGAGTGCCTGCCACATCACCACCCTGTACCTTCCTTGGAAGACTCCAATGTGTCTGGTTGCAAATGAATGTTTTTAAATGTATTTAATGCAGTTCTTCCTGTTCTCAACATGACCACCCAAGATTCAAACACAGAGATTTCTAAGTTGTTCTTTTTTCAGACCAATTTTAATTTAAAAATCGATCACAACTGGCACTTGGGTTTTGTGCAGCTATCAGTGTGCGAGAACACCCTTGGTTGGCATTTGAGACACAAAACACTATAGAGTTGGTATTTCAAAGTACCAGGTAATAAATACAAGGAAACCAATAATGAATTGCTGAGACAATCCTGAACCCAGATAGCATCAGAAAGCTAAAGGCCCAATGAATACTTTCACACTTCAACTCTGTGGATAAATCTTGCCTGTGGCTATAAACAGATGGTCAAAGAAAAAGTGCTTTACTATAATTAACTTCTCTGATTTGAATGAAGGAAAATGTATTTATTAAAACAAAGCTGTTTGCTGCTCTACACAGGTGCAGTGTTCAGTCAGCAAGGAGGAGGGAGGAATGGGGCGTGATCTTGTGTCTTCACCCGAGTTCGTAACTAAGCTTCTCGCTCTGTCTAATACTGCATTCTGTTTCTCCTTTTGTGCCCTGATTGTAACCCAAAATTTATGAACTAGAAAAGAATGTCCAATTTCATAAGTTGCATTTTTTTCCTTGAGCACTTTATGCAGAACAACACATGTTCTTCTGGTAGTGTTTGGATGATATGATTTTAACACATGCTAATAAAAGCCAAGAAAGACCATGGCAATTTCTATAAAGGAGTCTGTTTTCCAAATATCTAGAACATTAGGAAACATTAGAAGGTAGTGTGTACTGGCTTCTGCAACCTGTGATTTTTGGTGAATAAGAAGCCAGAAAGTGGCTTTGCATTTCAGAGGGGGTGGCTGGTGCCCAAGGGTCAGTATAGTTTCTGGGGGCCTCTGTGGCAGTCTGGTGGCCCCTCTCTTCCTGGCCTCCTGAAGGCCCGAAGACCCTTTCCCGGTGGCCACTCCCAGCCACCAGGATCTCCCCAAAGTTGTGCCCCCCCCCCCCGACCTCTCCTCTTCCCCTGAATGTGCAGCAGCTGTCCCTCTGCAAGGATCCACAGCCCCTTTACACACTGTGCTGCCTTCTTTTCCTGGTCTCTAAAATGCAGACACACATCTCCTGTCTCTTGGTCTCACTAAAAATAGAGAGAAAGCCCAGGATCCCTGCCCCAGAGCACAGAGGCAGGGGCGGGGTAGGGACGGTGAGGTGATTGGCAGGAGAGGGAATTCCCCTGTCATGGGGGAAACTTGGAATTGATGCCTGAGAAAGGAGAGGAAAGGGGGGCTGGCCCTGACGGAGGCCCTGACAGAGATCCGACAGGGAGCAGTCCCAACACCTGGCACCTGGGGTGGAGGCTAGTGTTGCCCCAGCCCCTTTGTACTGACTTTCCCTCATTGCTGAGTGAAGAGGCACATGTCAGTTCCCAGCTTGAGAAAAGTTGTAGTCCATGACCTAGCTTGAGAGAAAGCTGAGGGACACCACCCGCGCCCGGTCAAGGGCCATGTGTGGCCTACCTGAGCCATCTGCCTTTCCCCCCGTCTCTGCAGCCTCCGGCTCCTGACCTTGTTTGCCAGGCAGGCCACCCTCCTGCCCAGCGGAGGGCCAGAGCTCTTAAAAGGAGCCACCTTCCTTAACTTCCTGGGGCTGGGCCTGCCCTCCGCCCTGTCAGGTACTCACACCAGGAGCTGAGAGGCTTTAACACCAAGTGGTGGCTTCACTGCCAGCGGGTCCCATCCTCAGAGACTGGGCTGACATTCTAGCCACTGTCCAAAACGGACCCTGCTCCACCATCACCACCCCCACTCCTGTTGTGAACCTTCTGGGTTCTGAGAAAAACACCCCACTCTAAAAGAAGGAAGGGTATGTCAACACTCCTACTCTGGCCTCTCGCCTAGTGCCCCCCAAGTTCTCTGTCCTGCCCTGCCCCACATACCAGCACCCATCATCCCCAACCCCAGGCCCACTTCTCTCACCTATCCCCCCTCCCTGCCTGCTTTCAGAGGCTTTGGTCACTCCATTCCTCTCTCCAGTGATGGCAGATCCTGGCCTTCCAGCTTCTGGGAAGATCAGGCAGCTGTCAGCTGGGTGCCCCCACCCCCAGTGCAGCTTATTCAGAGCCACACATCACCCGTGGTGTGGAAGACCAGGCGTAGGGCTCTAGCGTTTGCCAGCTCTGAGGTGGGCACAGAGCAGTTGAGTTCCCCCTCTTGAGCTCACTCACAAAGGGGAAAGCACAGCCCCATGGTGGGCTGGAGTCCAGGGGTGGGAAACAGTGGAGTCGACTTCCCTACCATCCTGCTGGGGGTGGGCTCCATTGTTTCACACGGGGGTCTGCGTGCAATGGGCACGAGTGTTCCCATCACAAGGGGGCTCTGGTCTCCACTTTCGTGAAGCCCAACTCGCCCCACCCCATCTCCAGCGCCAGCAGAGTGCCTTACGCTCTGGGCCGCGGAAAGAGTAATGCCCCTGACAAGAGTGGTCTTCTGGGCGCTCACTCCCCATTTAAAGAACTTCAAGTCAGAGGAGCAAAGTTCTTTGGAGAAAGCCAGCAAAGGAGAAGAAAAATTGCTGACATTCACCTCGTGATGTAGAAAACCACAGCCTTTTGCTCAGTCAGAGAGGAAAGGTTCTGCCTGGGCTCAGTGAACTTACAACCAGACGGAAGAGCACACTGGGAAGAGGGAATGGCCGTGCATGTTGATGCTCATGGGGCGAGAGTGGTCACTTTGTACTGGAAACCTGTATCTCTCAAGGACGCGACCATGGAGGGGCAACAAAACCAAGTGATTTGGTGAAAGCTGGAGGCAACAACCTGGGTCCGTGGGTCCGTGAGGAGCTCTCAGCTTTTAAAACTAGGCTTTAGCCAAAATGAGGACCCAAAAAGATGGGGGTAGGGAGTGTCACGAAAATTCGGTGGACCCTGGTTCCCAGTGGGATCCCAGGCACTGCTTCATGAACACACCCTGGTTTTCTGCAGAGACGCAGGTCTGGCGGCACCACAGGGCTGTGTGTGCGGCTTGGATTTCCAGCCCATCTTCACCTGCCTCCAAGTCAGTGTGCCCTGGTGCGTCACAGCCAATCCTGTGCACTGTTTTCAAGCTCATAGTTAAGCTCATAGTTTCCAGCAAGTTAAGCTCTAAAACTGTTTATTCATAAAGTAGATTTATTATTGGGGAAACACTGTTCTATGTAACTCAGTGTCCCCCTCAATTGACTGAGCAGAGTGTAATAACTTGATACCCACTTATTTCAGTGAAATCCTAGAAATAGCCCCCCAAAAGTATAAAGTGTATGTTTATAGACTGTTTAACAAGGCAGGAAACTATGTATTTTATTGTTTGTGAAAGATAGCTAAGCTAAAAAAGTTTCAGCACTCAGAAGGGTTCCATGCAGTCCTAGAAGTTTCCTTCTGTGCAGCAGATGCAGATGCACCGACATTTCATGTGGGGGCCTCACCCTGGCTCAGGTGCTCTGGAGGCAGCACATCCATTCAGTCCACATCCTCAGGGAAGGGAAGCACCTCGATGGGGCTCACCGCTCATTCTTCCTCGTGGTCTGTGGGGTGACAGACGCTCTGTAGGACTTCTGAAAGAGCCCTGCCCCAGTCCTGCGTCCCACACAGCACCCACAAAGAAACAGGCAAAGCAGATCTAACCACAACACAGACAATAAAATTAGGGGTCAGGGTCGAAGGGACAGCAAAGAGAGGTCCTGATACATGCGTCAGGGACTAGAAATTAAACAAGTAAGAGAACGAGTAACATTTGTTGAGCACTTAATATGCACCAGGCACGAAGCTAAGAACTTGACATCTTTTGTCTTCACAACAGCCCTCTGAGGAAGATTACTATCACAGAGGTATTATTATGGGGCTATAATGGGTCTGTCATTATTTCCATTTCTCAGATGAGGAAACTGAGGTTAAAAGGTAAATTAACTTTGCAGAGGCTATTCAGCTGGTAGATAGCAGAGCCAGGATTCAGACCCAGGATTGCGTGTCTCCAGTGTCCTTGGTCCCTGCCCCTTAGCAGAGAAAGTGCCGGGTCAGTTGAAAGCACACTCTGCCCCTGCCCACTGGGAGGGCAGGGCACAGCAAACAGACGGGCAGAACATCAACTCCACTGGGAGGCTGCTTCAAAGTCATGCCCGCAGAAGGCTGCGCACTTACTCCTGGGATGGGGTTTGGGCTCAGACCCTTCTGAAAGTCTGTGCCCTGTGCCATTGTCACCTGAGGCCCAAAGCCAACCTCATGATCTCCCAACGCTCAACTCAGTGGCCCTGATGACGAGTATTCCCCAGCCAATCCACTCTTGTTCCTCAGCCTTGGATCTGAGTCAGACCTACTTGTTTCCAATCACTCTTCTGAAAAGGAAGCACATGTGCCATGACCCTGCGTACATAGGAAATGCATCGTGGGCTCGCTGAGGGCAGGTGCTCAGCGGAAAGCCAGCCACAGCAGTGCCACCACCGCCAAAGTGAGAGTTCCTCCCGGCTTTAAAGAACCACAGCGTGCACTTGGGTGTGTACACTTCATATCTCCCATGATTTCTCAGCTCCCTAAGCCATTGCACTCTCGGCTAGTCCCTCAGGTGGCAGTGACAAGGATGAAATGAGGGCCAGCACCTGTCCAGCCCTACCCTGCCCTCAGGACACCTCGTCTTCCTTGGCTGGATTCAGATCTTGAGAAAACCATGAACATACCAAACATTTAGGTAAATAAATTGGTTAAAACCCAAACATTTGGGCACCACAGATTATTACTATTTCAGATCTGCTTCTAGAGTTCTACCAAAAATCTCTCCCCTTCCCCCTACATCCTTTGCTTTGCTCAGGATATTCACCCTCTGTCTCCTTCCACTTCACCTCAGGCTCAAACAAGAAACGCGGGCGACCTCCGCAGCAGGAGCAGGGCCGGGCCTGGTTCTCCC